CCGTAACTTAGTAACCAGGCATTACATAGGACAATGAAAAACTAGTTTCCAGGCTATTCGCCAAAATATGGATGGAACACCTGGCCTGGGTTGCTCAAAAGGTAGATAATGCTATACCCTGGCTAAATCACTATCCAGCTGATAGCGTGGTTTGTTTTGTTAACACTTATCCACTGGATAGCAAAATTATCCGGTGGATAGCATTATCCAGCCTTCAAACAACCAAGGCCTGGAGGTTAAAAATTTGTCATAGAACAAAATTGTGTGTTTCTGTCGCTGATTTAGGCCAAAAACTACTTCAAAATAACCAATCTCTTCCAAATTTTTGCTTGTGGGTTTGGGAGGCAGCTACTTTATCGCTTATGTAGAACAATTTTTCTGTTTTGTGTGGAAAAAAACTCTGATTACAGTGTATGTAGATGATGTGGATGTTAGCGAATGGCATGTTAGTGGATGTTTGACAGGCATAATCATCGGTGAAATTTTGCAAAATTTTATTCGTGGCACGAACAAACAAAACATACTTCGTTATAAGATGCACCTCAAGTTTGGAACAGATTTTGACTGTACAAAATGCTGCGCCCTATAAGCCAATAAATACAGTAACTTAATAAGAGGGTAAATATTAACCAAACATTCAGACATTAGATACAAATAATTAGAACAGCTAAACTTGAAACTATTTACTCTTTTAAATCTGAAGGAGGTATGGGTAACTAACCTTGAACTGAATATCAAAAAGTACTTAAAAGACTAAGAGAGATAACAATATTGTTAACTCCTATGTACTGATCTTTATTTTTTCTCCATCACATTTAATCCATAAGTGTAAAGAAAGGCAAACACGTACGAGCATGAACAAAAAGTAGCCAGATTTTACAAGCAAAAATGCAGACTTGTGAGTATGTAAGCATTCAAACAAAAAACAAAATGGCGGCTTTCCCATGAGGTTACGATTATGAATTTATTAGGTTCATAAATTGTCTGACCTTTTCAGGTTGTTAACTTGTTGTTGGAAACAAAACATACATCTGCGGAGTGTCAAGAAATTTTCGAAGATGGTAAAGGAGAGGACTCTAGCAAACCTGTCCAAAATGTAGTAAATAAATATGCTAGTGCTGTGACGTTTGAGCAGTCGATGGAAGTTACTAGTACAGAAAACCAAGTTCTTAGCGGTGGTCCTATAGACGACATGGTGGTCAGGGATGTGATATCACATGGAGCTGTAAAAGCGCACACCCCTTTACAAATTCCAGTACCAAGATCTGCCAGTGTTGTTACTTCTGAACAGGGTGTGGAAATTACTGGTACAGTGAACTACGTTATTGGCAGCCCAACCCATATGGCCAAAAGCGTACTGGATTGCATGCTGGTTGAAGACATGAGTACATTTGAAGAGGTAGAAACGTGCAAACCTGTCCAAATTCGAGAACAGAAATCTGCAAGTGCTATTACATCTGAAAATGCAGGGAACATTGCTACCATAAACAATGTTTTTAGCGGTCCCGTCCACATCATTGAAATTGTAACAAACATGGGGAAGATGCATGTACAGTCTGTAGATGTTGGAATGCAGACTGATCCTTTGAGTGAGTGTTCTCCAACATTTGACACCATAATGACGCCATGTATGAAGCAAAAGTTAGTCGACCAGGATCACTCCTATTGTAAAAAGAAACTGGAACCTCAGCCTACACAGCCTAAATGCACGACAGATCATTATGTTAAGGATGAGGCCAGACAAAACATTGATAGTTCTAGTGACAAGTGGGAGGCTGAAATTAAGGAGGCAGGTATTGATTATGACTCTGATGAGGACTGGGTACCTGGAGACGAAGAGGTTGATTCTGATGATGAAAATCTTGTTTTTTAAGTATGAGAAGTCTGAAGCTAACTGGCTACAGGAGGAAGAAGAACTGTGCAAAGAGAATTGTTGTTTGCAAATCAAATTTGCATCCTTGAAGCCTTATCTGTGTCACAAGCTCATGCAAAGGTGGTCACACAGAAAACTGGTTTTCACACCCTTCACTATGAGAATTGCTACTGGAAATCTTGTTTGCAGTGGTGGGATTCTCAATTTCATGGAGGAGGAGGGACTGAAACAATGTCTGGAGAATTTAGAGGGATGGCCAGGCTATCGATATTTGGCAACAGAGAGGTAGGACAGTCAATAGAGCCCCTCTTCTTTGTTTTTTAAGTTTCAAAGCTTGTAAGCTACTTTCTTTGACGTTTGCCTTCCCAAAAAGGACTTAGACTGAAATGATATGAGTGACCTAGGGTTTTCTGTTAGCTACAAGTCGTTTAAATGTGTATTGTGGAAATCCACAATAAGGATTTATTCCTTTCCCAGTTTACCATCTACAAAACAAGGACACGAATCAAAGGGAACAACGACCAAGACTTTTGTTTTTGTGTTGGCTCTGAAAAGAGCCATTCATAATGTCTTAACAAAGGGCACCTAATATAATTTTTTTTCATGAATTTTTTTTTTTAGGAGGTGTTCCTCTTTTACGTCCATGTTGTTTACCATCTTATTTACTTGGCTTTTGAATTTATAGAAGGCTTGCATTGTACACTGCAAGTCTGCTGTGGCCAAAGCGAGACTACATCTAATTCAAAGGATGTCTGGCAATGCCTCATGTTGTTCAAAGAGTGTAGTTTTTGACATTTCAGAAATGCCTCATTCAATTCCATATGTATATCTATAGCAAATCCAAGTTGGAGCCATGACGAGAAAAGACAAGCCCAACATAAAGAACCAGTTTGATCCTTGGCACTTAGCAAAATCAGTGAGGAAAGAACTGGTCGCTGCTTCAAAAAAGAAAGAGTGCGCAGACTTTGTTCCTTGGATTTCTTCTTTCATGAATTGCCTGTAGTGGAGTGCAGCCACTCGCGACGAGGACCAACATCTTTGCCAAGAGAAGTGGAATCAACTGTGTACCAAGTGGCAGGAGAAACTTGCAAAATTTAGGGGAGGGGCCCAGGAGGCCCCCCTCCCCCCCGCCCTTCACTCTGTTGATATTTTTCTTGAGACAGAAATTTTTGGACTCAAGCGTTAATCGAAGTAATCAGATCATAACTGAGGAAGGATATTTATGTTGCAATTTAAACAAAATAAATAAAACTGATTAATTGCTGTATACGTGCAAGCACTACAGCTTTTTTTATAATTTGTAGTTCCGGAAAATATTGATATCTCCTTAGGGTGGTCACATGTATTTGGGTTACACCTCCCCCTCCCCCCCCCTGGAATTTCTAGTATAGTTTCATGCTTTCCCTTTAAAAAAATTGGCTAATGAAACCCCCTGGATATTTCCTTCACCTACTCAATTTTGTTGCTTTTGTTCTTTACTTTTGCCATTCTCTTTGAATGAAACAAATGCATTGTAGAAATCATGAAATGCAAGGTGCAAATGAAAACAAGTACAAATGTAAGAGGCATTTTGGGGTTTAAATTTAGCCGTACTGAAATATGCTTTCCTTTGGGTATTATAAATTATAACAGAAACTGAATGATTACATAATTTCTTATTTTTAGTTCCATAATGAAAAGTTGCAAATATGATGTCAACAGCATCATTCTCGATTTCCAAAAATATTTCTTGTCAAAACAGTTATTTTGCGACTGGATTATTGCCTTGTCATTAAATATGGCTGTTTTCGGGCGATTGCCATTCGACCAAAAATTCCGGTGTGAATTTACGGATTTTCTGGAACTTTTCCCTAGAAATTTCTGTGCCATTTGTCCCCGTTTCAAAAATTTCGGAATGTTTGGTCGAATGGAAAGGACCCTTTGTCTGTTTTGCGAGCGAAAGAAACTTTGTTGCCGTGTTTTGGCCCATATTTCTCGTGATAAAAGAAAAACAAAGACCGTAGTAACTTGCTTTCAGTTAAAGTTATTGTGTGACTGATCTGACATCTAGGCCGGTCAGAATGAGCGCCAGTGAAAACCTCAAATTTACCGGAAAAGTGTACAAAGTGGTTGGCAGACTTCCTATGTTAATTATCCCCGTGGAACAAAGTGACAACCAGAAATTACTTGCAATTCCTTGTTACAAAGGATTGAAGTCATCGAGACATAGATAGGAGTGAAAACTGCATGTTTTTTGCGCCTGCTCGGGCTCTTGAACAAAAAATTAAGTCACCCGCACTCGTAACTTGGGCGCCTCAACTCAGGCGCCCCGGCACCCGTTAGGCAGCAGCCTTGCACAAAATACAATAAGTTTTCAGCAATTTTCCCAGACACAAAGATAGAGTTTAAAATAATATATCAAACACGAAAGACCGTGTTTGACGGCATTTCCAAACACCAAGAAGAGAGTTGAAAATGCGACGCGTAGTGTGACGAACGTCGAGGTATTTGGGAATGTGGTCAAATAATGTTTTTTCAATTGAAACTAAAACTAAGGAGAAAACGTGGAATTAAAATCGTAAAAGTCTATGCTAATTGAGATCAGATATCCAGACACCGTGATCGTCATGACGTCGTGGTCATGTAATTATATCTTGCTGTTCAACACATAGCCACTGGTGGATTCTGCCTGTGTGAAAGCCTTTATTCCAAATCTTCCTGGCTTTATAGGGATAAACTGTCTGAAGTGCACTTTGCCTTTGAACTCAATTAAAGTCTCATCTATGGCAAACTGCCGCTCATGGCTGCACACTTCCTGAAACCTTGCTATGACCCAGGGTGCTTTCCATTGTGCCAAAGATTCCAGAAATTTCGGACAGAAGTCAAATGGAAAGGTCCGTTTTGGTTCCTTCCTTCCTCTGGGGGTGGTCCACTTATTCTGGTTGGAATATTCTGACCGGAATTTGCCGTTTCATTTTGACAAACCGCTTCATTGCTCTACTTCTCTTCACTTATGTAAGGAATTCGGAAAAGGAATAAAAAATGGTAAGAGCCATTCCTCTTAGTTGGCCCGGTTTAATCGGAAAATGCCGTTTTATTTTCTTCGGGTATTCCCACTGGTCTCTTACCGGTTGGTTTGGCATCATAGAAAACACCAATCTAGGAAAGGCTGGATTTTGTACAGTTTATTGTAGTCTGCGCAGTCACGTGGGAGAGCGCGGGTGTTGTCAGCAAAGTGCAGGTACAGCTAAATTTAAAGGAATCGAGTCTGCGACTTCAAAGATGGCAAGATAGGAGAACGTAGGACAGGATCAGTACTCCAGTAAGAATTATGGTTAGGTTTAGTAACCAACCCCACGTTTAGGTACAGACTAATCCAGGCGTTCATTTCACTTTCTGTGACTGGATTCCATGCAGAACTTTCTGCTGGCCCTCTCCTGTTCTGCACTAAAAGTAGTCTGACTAACAACTGTCATACTGTGAAGGTGAATTAATCCGCATGACACGAGCGTGGGACAAAGAAATATTCTGAGTCCCCGACAGGAATCGAACCCATGACCGCCCGAACACCGGGCGGGCGCTCTATCCACTGAGC